ACTGTTGAGCTTTGAGACTTCCTTATGTATTCTAGATAATTGTACCTTTGTTAGGTAAGTGAGTTCAAAATGTTTCCAGTCTATAGTTTGTCTTTTTATCCTTTTAGTGATCTTTAGTAGTCTTTTGCTTAGCAAATGTTCTCAGTTTTTATGAAGTCCACTTTATCCTTTTTCTCTATTTAGAATCTATTTTCTATTCTAAACAGAAAATCTGACTTTGTGATTGTGAATATTTTCTATTTTTTTTTCCTAAAAGTTTTGTAGTTTAATGTTTTACATTTAATTTTGTGTATTAGTTCCCTAGGGCTGCTGTAACAAATTAACACAACCTTGGTGGCTTATAACAACAGAAATTTCTCTTCTTCAGTTTTTTTTTTTTTATATAAAGATTTTATTTATTTAGTTGCCAGAGAGAGAGGGAGAGTAAAAAGGGAAAGCGTTAAGCAGGGGTAGAAGCAGGCTCCCGGCTGAGTGAGGAGCATGATGTTGGACTCCATCCCAGGACCCTGGGATCATGACCTGAGCTGAAGGCAGATGCTTAACCAACTGTCCCCAGAAATTTATTTTCTCATAGTTCTAAAGAGTAGAAGTCTGAAACTAATTGCATTGGGCCCAAATCAAGGTGTGACAAAGGTCTCCTGAAGCCCTGGGGGCCATACCATTCTAATCTCTCCTTTCATCTGAACATGGCCACACCATTCTAATCTCTCCTTTCATCTGAACATGGCCTTCTCCCAGGTGTCTGTGTCAAATCTCCCTTTGCCTCTCTTATAGAGACACTTGTGATGGCATTTAGAACCTGGATAATCCCACCTAATTTCCCCATCCCCAAATCCTTAACTTTAATTAGAACTATTGTAATGTAAGGTAATATTCACTTTTTCTGGGCATTAGAAAGTGAGTGTATCTTTGTATGCCAATTTCCCAGTTTACTACTGTCTAACCTGTTTCAAGTTAATTTTTGTATAAGGTGGCAGACTTAGATTGAGGTTCAGTTTTGTGCCTATGGACATCAAATAGCTCTAGCATCATTTATTGAAGTCTGTCTTTTCCTCTGTTAAATCACTTTTGCACCTTTGTTAATAATTTTTGCTTAAACAAATTTTTTTTTAAATTTTAAGTAAATTCTGTGCCATACATGAGGCTTGACAGCCTGAGACTAAGTCATGTGCTCTACGAATTGACTCAGCAGGCACCCCAATCATTTTTGCTTTTCTTTCTTTCTTTCTTTCTTTTTTAGAATTTATTTATTTATTTGACAGAGAGAGCAATCACAAGTAGGCAGAGAGGCAGGCAGAGAGGGAGGGGGAAGCAGGCTCCTTGCTGAGCAGAGCCTGACACTGGGCTCGATCCCAGAACCCTGAGATCATGACCTGAGCTGAAGGCAGAGGCTTTAACCCACTGAGCCACCCAGGTGCCCCCATTTTTGCTTTTTAAGATATATTTTTGCCAGTGTGTAAGATGTTTCAGTATCTTTTTAATAAAACCCTGTTTTGCCTTTATTACTTTATTATGTTTGTTTCCACTAGAAATTTTTGTTTCTTCATTTATGTCTATATTTTGAATAAAATCCTAAAATAAAATTTAAAAAAATTTAAAAATAAAGGTAATTTTAACTGGATACTTTTTTTAGTTTTTTATATGAATATTTTTCATTTTTTGACACTATCAATAATGTTTAGTAATGTATTATTTGGAGAGTTTGTATTGTACAGTTGTTATGTGTTATTATTTTGGGGGCTATTTGAGTATTTTCTAACAAAACAGTTTGTCTTCTAAAGTGATTTTTATTTCTTGCTTTTCTATATTTTATGCCTTTAAGTGTTATTTTTATAGCCACTGCCAGTATTATGAAAGTGGTGAATAGAAATTACTCTGTTTCTACTTTTTAGTAAAAATCCATTCAACATTTAAGCATGTTTTATACTTCATAAAAATAGAAGCATGTAGTTGTACTCTTACATCTGGCTTCTTTAACTCAACATTACATTCATCCATATTCATTCTCATTACAATATCTTACAGTTTTCATTTTATGAATATGCTACAATTTATTCATTCCTCTTTTGATGGACATTTGTATAATTTTCAGCTTTTGGCTGTTACCGGTATTGTGGCTGTGAACTTCATAGAAATTTCTTCTGATTATATATGCAGTTCTGTTGGGTATAAACTGAGAATGAAATTACTGGTTTATAGTAGATACTATCAGTTTTCCAAATGGTTTTGTATTAGTTTGCATTATCATAGATCAAGTGGGAATTTCGGTTGGTTCACATCCTCCTCAATACTTGTATTTTCTACCTTTTTCATTTTAGTAGCTCTGGTTGGTATGTGGTATTACCACATTTTTACTATTTTAGTTATTTAATCAGCAAGTGGGCTTGAAATTTTGCTTTATCTCTTCCGTCTAAATACAGTGTTCATTTGTGCATCTTGGTTGCTCAAGATCTTTTAATATTCTATGTTTATGTTTTATTTATAATTAATTGTTAAATTAGCCAGCATATTTGACTTAATTTACCTTCCAATAGTGTTCTACTTCATTTCTTTCACTCAAGTATTATCATTTTTATGCATGATTATTTCTTTGTAATGAATTTTACTGCTGTGAGTTTTGTTGATGGGTTTTGATTCCTTATTTAAAGAAGAAAGTTTAGCTTAATAGTTGGTGACAGTTTTACTTTCATCTTTTTATTATTTCTCTTTGATAGCTTATTAGACTTGGCTTCTCTAATATTCTTAGTCTTTCTTTTTCTTTGGCTCTTCTTCTCTGAACACTCCTGTAAGTGTTTATATTTCTCTAGATTGTTTCTGTAGTGCTCTTGGCACTTGAACAGCTCTCCATATTTTTCTCCCTAATTTCAAGATCCGTATTTGCAGTTGTTTACTGGATATCACGCGTTGAGATTTTTGTAGGTGCTTTGAACTTGCACCCATCTTTCCTCTGTCAAACCAACTCTTCCAATGTTTCTTAACTTGATTAATCCAGTCACCTTTTATTCAGTCTTCTAAGTTAGAAATGCTTATCTTTCTTATCTTCCCACAATTGTCATAACATTCTGTTGGTTTTGTTAACATAGGAAGCTCCCTATATACACAGTCAAACTGAGAACTGTGTCTCTGAAATAGAGATCCTCTGTTTCTCCTACCCCTGCCTTACTGTAGACCTTTTCATGGTTGAGGCTATTGCTCCAGTTGGTCTTGCTTTTTTTGTTTTTGTTTTTTCTGACTCATCCCTCTTTTTTTTCTCTTTTACGGTCCCTTTGATTATGGAATGCAAACACTGACTAAAACAAAGAATTTAAGTTAAACATTTATTATTCAAAATTTACAAAATATATAGACAATTAAATTTCAGTTTTTAGTAATTGAACTTACAAATGATAGTTTTGTAACTTTGTAATTTTCATACTTTCCGAAATTATTAAAGCTGAAAGTAGCACTCAGACTTTCGGGATGTCCTCTCTTTAAGGATTTTGATAAGTACTGACAAATTGTTACCCAGAAACACAGTACTCATTTCTTTATATATCTTCTGACAGTGGTTATTTTTTTTTTTTTTAAAGATTTTATTTATTTGACAGAGAGAGAGAAATCGCAAGTAGACAGAGAGGCAGGCAGAGAGAGAGAGAGGGGAGGAAGCAGGCTCCCTGCGGAGCAGAGAGCCCGATGCGGGGCTCGATCCCAGGACCCTGGGATCATGACCCGAGCAGAAGGCAGAGGCTTTAACCTACTGAGACACCCAGGTGCCCCGACAGTGGTTATTTTTTAAAGCTAGTTTTTAGTTTGACAGTTGAAAGATGGTATCTCAGCCATGTTTACTTTGCATTTTCTTGATGAATTATTTTTTTTTAACTATGATGAATATTTTTAATATTTTAACTTGTGGTCTTAATTGGTAATCATATCAAATGCCATGTTTGATATTAGCTACTATTTATGGAGCACTTTGTAACTCAAAAGTATTGTGATAAGCATTCTACTTATTACCCATTTTAATCCTTTGAACAACTGTTTCAACTGTAGGTATATTATGGATGAGGAATCTGATTGTAGAGGGGAAAAGTGACTTGTTCAATGCTACATAGTTAGGAAACTCATTTTCTATGATCTGTTATTATACTATAAGCTTTCGCTTTTTGTTAGAGGAGGAAGATTGAATATTTGCATTCATAGGGGATTGGATTAAATTTATATGTACTCTGGACCCCAAATGCAGATGGCTATGATTTATCTAATTTTTTTTTTTTTTTTTAACAGCAGAACGATCAAGTTTGGTATTTGATTGGGTTAGGAGAGAGGAAATAAAGATTTTAGTGAGTTTGGTTCTAATTAGAATGTTTAGACGTAAATTTAGAGCTGGAAGGATCCTTAAATATTTCTCAGATTCTATTCCATTGCACACTGTTTTGGGAAATTTTCATTATTTCCTGGCAACATAAGTTTGGGTACTACTTAATGTTTTTATTAGCGGAGAAACCTTTAACTTGTTTATCCTAGAATTTCCCAAATCATTTTGTGCACTGTTTGGTGGTAGACCTATTCATATCTTGTGGAATATCTCAAAGTACATGAGTTTGAGATAAAAACTGATGTGACTTATTCTTTCATTTCATAAGGGGAGGAAATAGAGATCCAGTTTTGTTCAGTGTGTTACCTAAGATCACACTGCTAATAAATGACACAGGATAAGCCAGTCCTTCCTTTGTCCACCCTTCCTCTGATAATGTTACGTAGTTAATACTTACTTTTCATATATTATGTTAAAAAGTTTAAAGCATAATTGAGTGTAGTTTCTTTTATATTCCTATTTAGCCCAAATATTAGCCTTAGACTCCGAGAAATACATGTATAGTTTTTAAAATTCTGCAGGTTATGTACATATGAATAGCCTAACTCATTTAGCTTGAATATATATCTATAACTGTTTGAGTGTGTTTAATCATAGAAATGAAGTCTTTTTTCTGTAGTTAACATGTCACAAATGTTTGGTTTAGTTTCTGTAGAAAATGTTTCCTGACTGCAATGAGAGAAAGCGGAATACATTGTCCCCTCTGTCGTGGAAATGTGACTAGAAGAGAGAGAGCATGTCCTGAACGGGCCTTAGACCTTGAAAATATCATGAGGAAGTTTTCTGGTAGCTGCAGATGCTGTGCAAAACAGGTAGAGTAAATGCAACATAGCTCTTCTTTGAAAATGAAGGTTCTACTCTACTTTGAAAATCAAATTCCTATTTGAATTTTCTTGGTAGGTGCTGGTTTGAAGAGAAAGAAGTTACTTAAATTGGGTAGAAAGGCCAAAAAATCTGATTACAGATCTTGATAGATCATAAACTTATTGAAAATAGACTGAAAGATACAGTCTGTGAATTTGTCATAATTTTTAGCATGGTATTTTTCTCAAAGTAATTGCTCATTGATTACCTACTAAATGAACAAACTGGCATTTAACTCATTTAAACCCCATTCTGGTACAAATTGTAACAGCATCATTAATGCAGTTTTGTACATAGAAATGGGCCAGATGGATTTATGTAGTCAAGGAGCTCTCTAGCTGCCCACTTTACTTGTGTTTATTTATGTGTTTAAAAAAAAAAAATCACAGAATATTTTGCGGAAAACTAATTAATTTTTAAGGAACAGGTGAGAAAATCAGGTGTTGGCAAATAACTGGCATTAATTCTCCAGTCTGGATTTTATTCTGTTCATTTGAAGAGGGAGTGAAGTAGTGAGGGGAGGTTAGGCTTTTGAGTATATCCATGTATTTATGGATTTATTGCTGCCACTTTTTCAAATAGCTAATAAAGTCAGTGAGCAAAACAAGTTGCTTTTTCATGCATTCACACAAGTCAGATCTGCTTTTCCATCTCTTTGAGGGAGGTATTAACTGACAGGGCAATGAAGTGAAGCCAGAAAATACACTTGAGAGATTCAGTCTCTGCTTCTCTGTGAGAAACTGAAAAATGTTCCAGGTGTTAACCTGGGACCCTAATTTTTTTTTAAAAGCACTTTCTAACTCTGTCAGTTTGCAATAAAGAATAAAGAAATGCCCAGTACCATAAGGCAAACCCATTACTGCTTTTAATTTACTTGTTTTTGGTCTATTATTAGTAGCATAGTTTCAAGTACAAAATTATTGTTAATATTTTTTTGCAGTGAGTTCATATCTGCATCTAATGGACAGAAACTTAATACTTATTTTCAGCTTCTTAAGAATTAAATCATTTACTTAAATTAAATGGAATATTTGGTTGGTTATGTTTATCTTGCTTTTCTTCTGTTGACAATATCTCAAATCTTACAACTACTGTTTGAAATTAAAGTCACATTACATTTTGATCAATAATTTACAGATTAAATTCTATCGCATGAGACATCATTACAAATCTTGTAAGAAGTATCAAGATGAATATGGTGTTTCTTCTATCATTCCAAACTTTCAGATCTCTCAAGATTCAGTAGGGAACAGGTAAGCAATATTTATTTATAAAAAGAGAATTTTTATAGTTCAAGTAGAATTGTTTGGAGAACTATATGATAAAGTGTTTTTTGTTTGGGGGTATGTATGTGTGTTTAAAGTATTTTGCCAAGTAACAGATTTATAACATTTGTCTTCAAGCTTGTTTAACTCCTGTAAGGTTGCATCTGGGAGAGCATCTTTATAATGTACTTAAGCTTATGTTATTTAAAAATAATTCTAAGAAAAAAATCTACATTTCTTTAAATAAAAAACAGAGTTGAAGGCTGTTTTCTTTTGCAACTGAAATTACTTGAAAACTAAAGAAAATCCCTTTCAACTAAAATCTTTATTTGCTATCTGAGAAATAGAGTTGTTAAAAATTTTAATTCTCATAATAAGATGTCATGTAAAAGTAAGATGTGTTACTACTAAATTCTTAGTTCTATTTTAGTCCCCTCCCCTTTTTAAACTAGATCTTGGTTTGCTTTATCTTATTGTCTCTGATGTATACGCATTAAACATTTCTATGAAATGTACTTTACACAGAGTAGTGACCAAAATGTACATGTATGATTTTTAAAATAGTGATAAAACAAATACCCAGCTACCCGCTATAACCCAGATTAAAAAAATAGAACATTCTTTAGGGTCTTAGAATCTCCTTGTGAGCCCATATCCTTTTGAACCACATACTCCCAGAGGTAGCCACTCTCCTCCTTTTTAGGTTATTCATTCCTTTGCTTTTCTTTGTAATATTACCATCTATGCATGTATCCATAGACGTAAAGTGCTTAGTTTTTAACGTAGTTTTTAAACACTCAATAATAGCAAGTACACACATAGTTTTTGTGTAAGGAAAGGCAGTATTGGCGGTAGTGTGGAAAGGCTCCCAGGAGACTGGATTAAGCAGAGTCTCTTAAGATTTTATTTCAGTAGCATTTCATTTCATGTGTTGCTAATTTTCAGTAATTAACTGCTCTTAAGTACTTACGCTTATGTACTGTAGGCTTCTCTACTCATATGAAACTGTTCTAGTCTTTAGTAATTTTCTGATTGCCCAGTCTTCAAAATTCTTTTAGATTCTCATTTTACTTGACTTAGCATCATTGGATGAAGTGGGTCACTCTTGTTTTGTAATTTAAAAAAAGTCTCCTCAGGTACCTTCATCCCTGTGCTTTCTTTATTATTGTACTTCTGCTGTATTGCAACTACTCAGCAATTTGTTATTAACCCAATAGATTATTCTTAAGTGTGAGGTGGTGTTTGTCTTGTTTAACATTGTATTTCCAGTTCTTGGCAAAGTTGCCAGTATGTATGATTTGTGTAATCACTGCTTGTTAAAGGACCAGAGTTTCTCCTCAGAAGTCTTGTTGCCTTCTCCTTTACCTCTCAGATCCAATTTGATTACTGATAGCAGTATTCCTCATCTGTGCTTTTCTTCTAACACTATTGTCACTTCCCTAGCTCGAGCCTTCATCATCTCTCACTTGAACTATTATGTAGTCTTTTTATTGGTGGTCCTCCTCTAACCTGTCCTATATGCTGTTGCCAAAGTGGTATTTCACAAGTGCAGTTCTGATCTCTTTCTCCCTGTCCTTATACCTTCCTCCTTGTACCTTGTCCATGACTTATCGTGACTCCATAGCAGTGTTTCTCATTCTGAATTGCATGGGCCAGTAAGGACTCTGTGAACTACCTAAACTGCCAAATATTTTGTGTATGTGTGTTTTTCTGGGGAAAGAATGTTGAGATTCTCAAGAGGTTCCATGATCTAAAATCCAACAACTGTTTTATCAGACAGAATTCTTTATTCTAAAGCCCTTTCTGATCTGGCACTTGCCTTGCATTTTTTAGCCTTTCTCTTTCTTGGCTAACCATCATTATATCATATGTCTTAGCTATATTGAATTATTTGTACCATTTCCTTGCCATCCTTAAGAAGCAGTATAAGTTAGCAGTTTTAAAAAATGAACCCTTGGAGTCAGACTACCTGGGTCTACTAATTGTATGATCTTGGCAAGAAACTGTATCTCAGTTTTCTCCTCTGTTTTAAAAGGGGGGATGGTAATAATACTATTAGTACCTTATTGGGTTGGGAGCCATTAAATAGGTTAATAAAGGCAACGCATATTGAATCGTACCTTGCTTGGTAAATGGTAGTTTTTATTTTTTTATTTTTTTATTTTTTCAAAGATTTTATTTATCCATTTGAGAGAGAGAGAATGAATGAGCATGAGAGAGAGCATGAGAGGGGAGAAGGTCAGAGGGAGAGGGGAGAAGGTCAGAGGGAGAAGCAGACTCCCCGTGGAGCTGGGACCCCGATGTGGGATTCAATCCTGGGACTCCGGGATCATGACCTGAGCTGAAGGCAGTTGCCCAACCAACTGAGCCACCCAGGTGCTCCAAAATGGTAGTTTTTAATTATCACTCTCATCATTCCCTCACCTCCATACTTTTACAAGTAGTAGTCCCTTTTCCCACCACCCTAACCTACACTTTGCCAGTCAGTGGACTTTTTCTTTTCTTTGAAGATTTAGACCAAGTGTTAATCACTCCGTAAAATCTTCCCTGACCTCTAGAATTTCTTCCTTTTGGTACGCCCTTTCTTTATTCTCCAACTAGGTCCTCTAAGACTTTATTATATTTATTTGTTTACTGTCTTTCTTTTTAAAATCTAGAATGGGCTTCTTGGTCTTATTCATTTTTATGTCCTGTGCAAAATTCTAATTGTAATGGAAAAATTGGGTTTGTGTATGAATTATTAGTAAGGAAATTGGTGAAGGAAGGAAAAGAAGGTTGTTTGTTTTTGATTTTGTTTTTTAATGTAGGAAGTAGGAAGATATGAAGCCAGAGTATAGTCAAGGTCTTGGGAGGAGGGAGATAATAGGCTCAAATTGGGTATTTTGAGGAGAATTTAGTAAAGAGACTATTTTCAAAGCATAAGGTGTTGGGTACACTATGTGAGCAGCTGAAAATCACAAGTAGTTATCGATGTACTCTGGGTCTGCTGAAAGCAGGGGAGGGGAGGAAGTAGATACCAGAACTTGGAGAAAGTGAGCTGTATAGAGAGGGCAGCTGGGAGGAATGCAGTCAGTTGAGGCAGTGTTGGTAGGAAGGAGTCTGGGAAATAAATATCCTAACTCTCCTCTTGTTTTACCCTCCCAATTGCCTGCTGGGCTGAACCCAACTGGAAAGCAGAGAGGGGAGCCTATTGATGCAGGTCAGTCTCTCAGTACACAAAGCATGGTGAAAAATGGAGGAGAGAAGATCTGGAGGGACAGAAGATACCCAGCATATAAAGATTTCAGTTAGTAGCCAAATATATTGTAATATCCTATCAACTATGTTTCATAGCCTCCAAGTAGCTAGTACAAAGAAGAAAACATCTATTATGTTATTAACATTGTCTGTGATATTGTAAACAAAATGTTTCTAATGAAAAACACAGCTATTCCTGATACTAAAAAAAAATGATACTGAAATGATTTTGCCCATAGCACCCTTAAAGAAAATTGTGCGATTAAACGTCATCTTTCCTGTGGTAAATACAAAACAAGGTACATAGGGCTGTAATTTAAAGGCCCCCTTCAAGGTAGCATATAATAATGCCTTATTGTTGTTAAAACTTTTCTTCCAGGGTGTTTTCTCTGATATTCTGGCTTAATTAATCTAGGTATGTTGGTAGAATGGAGAGGATCTGTATATTCATGCAGTTCTCCATGAAGATCATTGCTAGCAGCTAAGCTTTTTTAAACAGCTCAGTTTGGAGAATTTAAGGTCTTACCCTTTGTCAAGTTACTGGAGAACAGATACATTTTATATTGCTGATTAAGAACAGAACCATGTAATTAACAGCTAAGCAGGATTTGGTGGCATTTTATGAAAATTCGTTACTTTATTAAGACCTCTTTGTGGCAGAGTCAAAGGACTACCTAAGAGTAGAGCAGGTGTTTTCTCAGAATACAGTTTTCAGTATTCCCTCGTAAGTACAAATGGATGATTTAAACTTTGAACTTCATGGCTGTGGAATTTTTTTTTTTTTAAAGATTTTATTTATTTATTTGACAGCGATCACAAGTAGGCAGAGAGGCAGGCGGCGGGTGGGGGGAAGCAGGCTCTCCACTGAGCAGAGAGCCCGATGCTGGCCTCGATCTCAGAACCCTGAGATCATGACCTGAGCCGAAGGCAGAGGCTTAACCCACTGAGTCACCCAGGCGCCCGGCTGTGGAAATTCTTTTTTTTTTTTTTTTATTAAAGATTTTTATTTTATTTATTTGACACAGAGAGAGAGAGAGATCACAAGTAGGCAGAGAGGCAGGCAGAGAGAGGAAGAAGCAGGCTCACTGCCGAGCAGAGAGCCCGACGCGGGGCTCGATCCCAGGACCCTGAGATCACGACCAGAGCCGAAGGCAGAGGCTCAATCCACTGAGCCACCCAGGCGCCCCCTGGCTGTGGAAATTCTTAAAGTGGTGTCTGCATGTACCTATCTCAGCAGTTAAAAAAAAAAAAAAAATTCAAAATAAATCCGTCGATCATTTTATTAATTCAACATAGATTTATTATACTTTTAAACTACTGGGCACACTCTACATGTTCTAGAATACACAGGAATGAGTAAAACAGACACAGTCCCCTTTTCTATATATATAAACAGTTTAACTTCCAGTTGAATAATCCAAGGTAAACTAGCCCACTAGTTTCAGTCAGATCATTCAGGGTATAACTATTTACTATAAAGTAATAAATGTTAGAGGATGTTTAATAAAATTATTGCATTAGTATGGGGTAGTTTGTCATGATAATTATATAGCAGTCCTAGTTGTTTAAGGCCCTCTCTAGTTGATACTAGTAAAATTCTGGTTTTAACATATAAGAGTGTATGCTGTTTTCTTTAGCCACTAGAAGTGAGGAAGAGGAGGATAGGGAGGAAAAGATGCATATAATCATTGAGATACCAGACACATTTTATCTTCCTTGGAAATTGTTTGGTCTGGTTGTAGGTTTTTCTT